CAGTGTCACGGGGACATGTATCTTTTTTTGCGAACTTCTGATAAGTGAAGTCAATGGGGAAGCCAGATTCACTTCACAAGTGTTACTAACTTAACAACAGCCATGATTCACTTAACAACCATGGCAAGAAAGATTGTAAAATGGGACAAAACTCACTTAGCAAATGTCTTGCTTAGCAGCAGAAATTTTGGTGTCTGTTGTGATCTTAAGTCACGGACTACCTCTACTAACAGGTAGCTTAAGGACTCATCTACCATTTGGCTCACATGCAGGTATGCCAGCCTGGGGATGGACCTACCTGCCCAAATATCTCACCTGCCTGAGGCAAACACAGGAAGCTTTCTTTGGGGGCGACAAACTGAGGGAAGCAGCTATAATCTCTAGTTCTCTGAGGCCCAATGTAGTTCAATACACTTAAATTGCCCTGATAGTTATGATAATATCTACTTGTCTAAGAAAATGAAACCCACACACTTTACATATATTGAAAGCTTTTTAAAAACAAACATTGTGTTTTGAGCTTGGGTTATTCTAGTTTTTAAACTAATTTTTATTTAAAGTTTTAACAGCATTAATAACTAACACAAACTAAAATAGAACAGAGAAATGGACAGGAAATAGTAATAAAAGAAAAAGCTAAAAGTGCTATAAAAAAGAGTAGAAAAAGAGAAGGATGTAAAGAGGGTTAGAAAGATAAAAAGAAGCTTCGCTAAAGTTACACCATGTCTCTCTTCTTTCTATAATTTATCCTGTGTAATCATCAACAGACTAAATCACAAGTTCATTTTTTTGTAATTCTCCACTACCTACCATTTTCTTTGGAACAATATCTCATTCAATCTTCACTCAAAAGAACTGTTTTTCATTTAAAATGTTAAGTCACTAACATGTTCTAAGGAAGTCTTTGGTAATGTCTCCATTTTATGTACATTAATATGCATAAACCAAACCAAACTAATAACTAAAGACTCAGAGTACGAAATCACATCTATTCTTGAAAAAGATCTATATCTTTCAGAAAAAACAGAAAACTCTTTTATATCAGCATTTTTATATCTCTATACATCAACTACATCCAAATCATCCATCAAATAAGTTAAAAAAAACTTTGGTAGTTTGTATTGTGCATTTTTAATATTTGTTCTCAGAAGTTCTATTTTTTGTGTGGAAACCACTTCTTTTCAAATTCCCAATTTTCATATGTAAAATCCAATAAAATTCCACATTAAGCATTTATAATCCATAGTTGGCCAAGATTTTAGAAAAGTCAGTTTATTCAACTTTAGTATTATGTGAGCAATTAAAATTTCATTGAAAGAGCACTAATCATCAAAGTGAAATTGTCTATTGCTTTAGGACTGAGAAAATTCACCAATATTTTGAGCAGGTCTTTTAAATGTTTGCCACACCTGTAACACGTGAAAGAATTAACAGGTTTTTAGCTGATATTGCAGGAACAAAAGTTTTGACTATGGGGTTGACTTTCTTCTGTGATTTACATATCTTCTAATTTTATTTGCTATTAGAGATAATATAAAAAGAAATCTGACATTAGATTTCATATCTCAGAATTACCAGTCTACCATGACCCCTTGTTAAAAAAAAAAATCAGATATTTTGCTGGCTGAATAATTTCAATTTCAGTCATTTGATGAAGGATAATATGCACCAATGCGGCTTAGCCGATAGATTTAGCCCTGCTTCTCCCTTGTATGTGTTCCATATATGTATATGTGTATATGTATGTGTGTGTATGTATATATAAGTATACACACACACACACACCAACATCTGGGATTGGAATTACATACTACCAAGAAGTATAATCATAAGAAATGTACCTCAATATGGGAAATGGGAGCAAAGAGCTGGAACAGTCCACAGTCCAGATGTTCTGATGTAGATATATTCACTTAACTTTTTGGAGGGTTATAAATGGAGAGGAGTAAGTTTCTCTTTTATATTTAGTATGAATTCCATGATTAGCCATTTCTTGAGAAGAAACAAGCTTGAATAAGGTGTTTTTTTTTAAAAAAAAAATACTGATTTCCCTCTCAAGCGAATATTAAAAGCAGTTAAAAAGAAAATATTCCTAAAAGTTAAAAAGTATAAATTGAAATTAATTTTAAACTAATTAACAATATTTGTGAAATAAGCCTTATCCTCCCCTCTAGCAAATTAAAAAAAAAAAAAATCTCTTCTGAGCCATGCCAGGAATTAATGATTTGGCCTAAGAAACTGAATTATTAATATCTTAGTGAACAGAATTAGTTTTTCGGAAATAGTTTATAGTTTGGTCTCAATTACTAATCCAGTACCCAAGTTTCCATTTTTAAACCTCATGCCAGGATACTAGAGCCACTTTAATGTAGCAGCCTGGTGAAGCTCACTCACCTCCACAAAAAAGCAGAAAAGATTGTGACATAACTAGGTCATGGAAATATAGGAATTTTTCTCCTTCCCTTTTCTTAAAGGTTATCCTGAGGAAATAGTCCTTCCACAAATTATGTTTATCATACTTTGAGAACCTGAAAGGTACATCATTATATTTTAACAGCGTAATTGGTTAACTTAAATATTTTCGGACAACTGGAATCACTAGGCAAGCAACATTATTTAGGAACTATAAAAGCGATAGTGGTGTATACGTTTCAGTGTTATTGATATTAATTGTGGTGTTTTATTTAGTTGGCTACAATGAGATGCAAAGCTCTTGCCCAAAAACAAAATACCACTGAAAATTATTCATGCAAAGACTAAAGGCAAACATATTATAGTCAGCAAAATAGTCAGAAACTCATCAGAAGCAATTATAGAAACAGTAATGCTTTCTGTCTTGCTAACTAAACAAACTGCACTGGTCTACAATTCTCCCCTCCACCCCCAGACATTGATAGTTGGTGATATATTTCTTCCCACAGTTGGAAATAGTATATAAATATACGCAACTGCAATTTTCAGAATGTATATCTTTCTGCTATTTGTGATGAACAGCAGACCTGAGTTTCACAAAGACACATATTTCCTTTTTTCTGTAGCACTGAGAGATGAACTCATTTAGGAAACTGAAAAGAGTAGTAGTAGTAGTAGTAGTAGTAGTAGTAGTAGTAGTAGTAGTAATAGTAATAGCAGTAGCAGTTTTTTAATCTTGATTTCCTACAAATGTTTGATTTAAACTGGAGGGCACAATAAATATATTTTTATTTCCTAAATCATGGATTGTTCTTTAGAGGAGATAACTAGTTTTCGACAAATTTTCTCTAGACTATATGATTCTGGCAAGCAATAATGCAAAGGGTATGCTTTAAGCAGCATGGCAGAATGAGTTCTGACACCCAAAAGCCATCCACTGCAATATATTATAAATAGGAGTCCATTTGTCCATTGTGTCCAAAAGAGGACACAACAGAATGTGCAGGTGTTGTCTCCCCACCCTTTCCTTTTTTCTTTTTACTATTCACTGAAGGCAAGTGTCTGCTGAGAACATTGATGGAGGCTCCTCTCATGATTTGTGAATCTTGGCTTCTGAAAGTTTCAAGAAAAACTCCACAAATAGATACGAAAAGCTTTCTTGTGCACACTTGCTGCCTCTGCATATAGTATAAGCGTTCTAGATTATTTCAGATTGTTTAGAATACATTTTAGGAATACTATAATTAGGTGAGTTCCAGGCTCATTCTTGTGCATTAGTTTTAATTGTAGTTTTGGGGAACTTCTGCAAGATCCTGGAAGATTAATCTTATAGTATTCCACAAACCTTTATGTAATTTTCCCATTTATTAACATTTGAACATTTGAAATTGGGAGAAGTTTTTGAATGTTTGAATTAATTGAATGGTACCACTGAAGGTTACACAACCAGGAGTAGAAAAGCTGTGACCCTAAATTGAATGTAGCTTTTAGCTCCTTTTGTGGAACCTATGGGAACAACAGCCATACAATTTCCCATGCTTTCCAATAAAAATAAGTAGGCTAAATATATCCATTTTACTTAATCTTGCCAATGAAAAAGGGGTAAAAATCCCTCTACTGAATAACCGAAGTAGCTTGAGATGTAGAATTTACTGAATATAATAGTATAACTGCCCAAGTAATGACTTCAAATAATCATGCCTTTTACCTTCTAGAAAATCCAGGGGGGTTGAGAACAAATATTTAATATATCCTGTGGATATGTGACTGAAACAACATGCAATTGTTTTACGTTTATACTTGATTGATATGAATTGGTTAATTCTGGTGATCTACTGGTATTAATAATTGATTTTCCCTTCACAATTATCAATGCAATACCTAATGTAACCAGAACTGGGACAAAGGAATGTTTAGAATTAATTTAGGTACAAATAAAAACAATAAAGCTGAATCTTTATATAAATGATCAGCTGAAAGGAAAGTGATTGCATTCCTATGGTTTTTAATTCCAGCATTTGTTAAATAAAAGATAATATGGCCAATGGCTAAAATTGGTAGAAGAGGTTATTCAGCAGTCTCCGAAGAGCCATTCATTTTCTCTACCTCTGGTCTACACACTTGCTGCCTAGATTCAGGTGTAAGATCAGTGACTGTCACATGTTTTAAGGGTTTACCTACTCCAAGCAAGCAATACTACTCTTACCATACGGTTTTTGTTTTGCTTCTCACCCCAAAGAAAGAAAACAGACAATACCACACCATTCAGAGTAGTAGTAGCCCTTAACAATAGCATCCTTTATGCCATTCTTTTTATTCCTCTGCAATTTCTTGAACACTAACACACACAAAAATAATAATCTTATTCCTATTTAATATATTATACAGGCAAGCAGGGTAGGGGGAGATTCCTGTTGAGAAAACATAACCATGGCAACAACAGAGCCAGGGAGGGAACCATTGCTACTTGTGAATTTCAATGTAATCAAGGCTACAGGAAAAAATGAGAAGAGTTTTTCTTTCTTTTATCCCAGAACAGACCTGTTTTTCAAGTGGAGAAGGAAAACACTTATCAGTAAGGCAGCTGGTCTGGTTCATGTTAGTGCTTTATTGTGAATCTGAAAAACAGGCAGTCGAGTCATACTTAGTATTTATTAGGGAAATCCTCTCATGCATGTCACAGGATTTGGAAATGAAACATTTTTAATGCACAGGCTGGTTGGAAATTCTTGAAGCTTCAACTCCTGTATATTTGGAGGGCAATGTTCATTTAAATGTAAATAATTTGGTATCAATCTTTGCTTTAGACTGGTCCAACCACTACTTTTTGGAGTGAGGTCCTTGTCTTGGTACTCAAAGACCAAGCACTATTCTTGCCTCAGGAAAAAAAAAAAAAGTAAACAGTATTAAATCATGTATTTAACAGGAATCATTACAGCAACATCTATCCATTTTACTTCTGTATGATGCAGAATCTGACACCAGATGCTCAGTTCTGCATGCTAAGGATCTCAATCCACATCACATCTTTTAATACATTTACTTCTGGTGGGATAACAAATTCTCAGAACTGTTCCACAAAATGTTAGCTTGACAAAGACTGTCCCAAGATTAGTTATCATAGAGACAAAGGGATTTGAACTGGGTCTCCTTAGCTTCAACCTAACACTCAGATGAATACCAATAAAACCAACAGAATGATAGAAAGAACTAGAGGCTTCTTTTGTATCTTTTTGGTTTTTTTTTGAAGCCTTGGTTTTAACAGCAGTAGGGCTTCTTGCCTATCCCTTAACTGTCAGAAGTGGAAACAAATAGTGTATATGTACAGCAGCCTGTACGAACTAAGTATGGTTTTTAACAGAAGAGTAAACAATTTGAAGCCATAAATCATGGAATCTGAAGACCCACAATATCACCTCACCCACAGGGATCCATATTGGACATGGCTAGTGATTAAATGTGTCATTATATCATGGCTCAAATACTATTTATTTGATTTATGTATATATAAATGATATTTGGACGTGATTTGAAAGGGTGGGCTTTGCATTTTGATGTCCCCACTGTTAAATCATTGTATCTAAGAGCAGATGCCTATGGCACCACCACTTTCAATGGCAATCAGTCTTATTTGCTACCAGGGACAGAGCACAGCAATCATGAGCAGGGCTGCCAGAATTAAGACCTTAAGCCTTTCACTACTTCCCACTTCAGACTCTGCTACTGTACTCGGTTGAAGTAAAATAATCTGCAAGCAACATTGCCAGTCTCTTCTGATGATCACCTTGATGATCTGGTGAATGGGTATTAAGTATACTGTACATGAATGGACAACAGCCTTTGAGAAATCAAGACAGAGCTTATTTTGAATTTGCCACTCAATTCTTTTTTCATTGACCCTACATTAAAGCCACCCCCCCCCTTTTGGCTAACTGAAATCTAAGGTTCTAGGATGTAAGAATCCTCACTCCTAGCCTTGTATTTGTAACCATTACATTAAACTAAATTTAAAGGTAACTAATATCAAAACATACTCCTAATGCAGCATGCACTCTGCAGCTAAATAAACACCAGCATTCTGCTTTGCACCAAGGTCTTTAAGACATGTATTAAGACCACTTCAGTTTCAAACATGTACTAGTTGCTAGGTCAGGAGTTCCATATATGTGTGCATTCATTGATCTTTATGCCCATGCTATGGGCATTTTTTGTACAGAAGAATTGGAATAATAATTGCAGTTCTCAGAGATGGAAAGGGCTCCATTCAAACTATGGTTTAGTATTTGAAATAATTAGATGAATTGATTTTTTCCATTCAAGGTGGTAAAGTTAATCACTCCCAATAATTAATTTGGTGTTTTGAGTTTTTCTACACACTGCTGTTTTTCAGAGCCTTAGATAGCATCTTTAATTTACTGCATTTGTTTAAGTCTGCAATGAAGGTTTTTAAAAACACATTTATAAAAAGTGGATGACTAAATTGGCCAATTCCTGAATTCCAGTTTTTGTTAATAAAAGACCACATGGCCAATGGCCAAAATGATGGGAGAAGTTATTCAGCAGTCTCTGGAGAGCCATTCAGCTTTTCTACATCTGGTCCATACTCTTGCTGCAAGGGAAACAAGATATTTTTATTTAAGAAATAAATAAGAAACAAGGAAGTACATTCTTATTTAAAAAAAAAAAACCTCAGCAAAATTCTGGCAGATTTTGATATAACTCAGGTAGTACATTCTTAAAGGGATAAGTAATTGGATAATTTTCATTATCTTCCAAGTTTGCTTTGCTGTTCCACCATTCTCATAATTCTGATCAAATATTCTAGGACATGTAATGCTTAATGGCAAAATAAAACATCTTCATAGATTAAGAATGTTTACACATGACTGGCCAGAGAAACTGATTAATAACTTTTACAGCTAGTTATGAAAATGAGATTACAATACTTGTAAAATTAACACTGCATTTCTAATTCTCTAGCCTCTGGACAATTTGCATAACAGGCAATTGAGCCATTCATAATTAACTAGCACATTTCAGTTTCCAGTTTTAATTTTCAGTGGTGCATCTTTCTGAGTCATCCATTAAAACTGTACCATTAAACAGGTACTGAGGTTTTATTTATTTGCATTATTCCCTTCCACCATTAATGGCTTGGTAAACTTTATAAAATAATTTTTTGCTACTGCTGCTTTCAAAACATTGGACAAGATCACTATTGCTTTTTGCAACAATTTGAATAAATTTGATTGAATTAATTTGCTGATATAGTATTTCTAGAAACACAAAGCATATGGATAACTTCTCCCTCTGTATTAGGAATCTGCAAGCTAAGATATGCCATATATTTGATACAAGTATGAAGAACCTGTGACTACTTGTTTTCTTAATTACATCCAGAGCTTTCCCATCTCTGGCTTACTTTATACAATATTATTCTGCTTTGACTAACTTGAACTCTTAGCCAAACTTTTCACCTCTGACTTGTATTAATTTAATTAAATTTAATTAATTAAATTTATATGCCGCTCACAATACATTTAAAAAATCATTATAAAAAGACATTGAAAAATTAAAAAACATTTAAAATATTAAAAACTCATTCACACCATTCATGGCCGGATCTCGCCAGATCACAAGAGCGAGATCAACGGCCCTAGGCCTGCCGGAAAAGCCAGGTCTTCACCGCTTTTCGGAAGGCCAATAGGGTGGGGATGGTCCGGACCTCAGGAGGTAACTGGTTCCAGAGAGCTGGGGCAGCCACAGAGAAGGCCCTCCCCTGCGAGCCCGCCAGCCAACATTGTTTAGCTTACGGGACCCGGAGGAGACCAACTCTGTGGGATCTTACTGGTCGCTGGGAGCTATGCGGCAGAAGGCGGTCTCGAAGATATTGACCATAATACCACATAATGGTACTGACCATTAGTGCAATCGCTGTGCTATCATTTCTTTTTTCTCGAACAGCAGTTTTTGTCAATATTGTCATTATATTGCAGAACTATTACACTATTAATATTACTAGGTATATGTTGTATCTATTTTTGTCAGACAACTTAAACTTTTTTCATGTGTCTCTATCCCCACCTAACTGGCAAAGTGTTATATATTATACTTTTATAGAAGCCAAGCCAAAAGTTAAAACTTGGACGCAACAAAATTATTTCTTGGCAGTTAAGGAGTTGGAGCAACTAACCACAGCATGGATATAAATAAGCCTTTCATTACCTTTAAACATTTGCTTTGGAGAAAATGAACAGTTTAAGGCTAAAGATCTATATTTTTTGCAGCTATTCCAGGGAATGAGATCAGCATGATTGCATCTTCTGAAAACTGCACAGAAAGATGACTTGGTAAAGATTTTTTTTTTTTAATTTTTCGTCAAATCAGCACAAAGTGCCTATCAGAGATCTATATAGGTGGGGTCCGTGGCTGTTATCCTGCTCTAACGAAGGCGGCAAGCGAAGCCTATTCGGCCAGAGGCATCGTCTAATGAAGTCAACCCTTTGTGCCTGCATAGAAAAAGACATTAAGGCATCTCAATATTTTGCTTCAGAAGGATTAAATCATGCATTAAAACTGATTCTTGCCGGTCCCTGTAAATTGTTCAAAGATCTACCTACAGCAGAGTAAACCACCCGGTGGAAACCTACTAGTCAGTTTGATAGTAGAGAGCTGGTAATCCAGCTGCATAGTAGTTCTTTTATAAAAGATGACCATGAAACGGCTTCTGGAGACGTGACATCCTTTCCGGAGCCGCCTCCCCAGAGATTGAGTTCATCAGAAAAACTAGGATCCAACTTCTCGCAACGTTGAGAAGACGAGGAGAGATAACCGGCTTCGAATTGCCTTCTCATTGCAAAACTCTTTTCTCTCCGCAACGCCACATCCAATAGGAGGAGGAATCCTTCGGAGACCCACCTGATCCGTTGCACTTCAACTCCCATAATTCCTGGGTCGGCCTGGGACACTATGGGAAATGAAGTTCAACCTGTTCGGAAGTGGGCAGGTTAGGCAAACCGATCTTCAGAGCTGCGCACTTTTCCATTCAGAGAGAATGGGTTTACTTTTATTCCCTTGCAGGCTGCGGCCGGGGGCTGACATGGTGTTGCAGTGCCGACGGGCATTTCCGAGGCTTCCAAGGAAAAGGACGCCTGCAATTTTAACGGGATTTCCATCCCAGCCATGTCCGGCGGAATGCCGAGATCCTACACTTCAGGATCGCCGGAGGGCAAAGCTAGGCGGGATCGTCCATGCAGAGTCTCCGTTGCCCATTTCCTCGTTGGGCTACACTCCCATCTCTCGCAACCAGGAAGGCTCGAATCGGATCTCATCGCGCTGCCTTTTCTTCAAGTTTCCAAAATGCTGGTTGCTAATTGAGACACCCCCCCCACACACACACACAACACAACACACCCACCCACCCACCCATGAGAGCCAAACCGACAAGAATTTACGGGCGGAAAAAAAAAAAAAAGTAAGCGGAGACACCAGCTTTCCAGCAGCCTTTTTCTCGCTGTAGTTCGGAAATCCAGTCCTGAATCGCGCGGCGTGCGTCATCTCTTTACTTTTTATGTCTATATCTGCACTCGCCAGCTATTCTATAAAGGACTTTTTTTTAATTCCCGAGCTGCCAGTTGACTGAATAGAAATACAGGCGAGCCACATCAGAGCATGCGCCAAATTAGATTAACACTAGTTAATTGAGAAAAAAGCTCACGAGCGTAAATCTAAATTGGCGCATGCTCTGATGTGACTCGCCTGTATTTCTATTCAGTCAACTGAATATATACCAGTATATATAAAATTTCAGTATATTATAAAATTTAAGATTCATAGGCAGGTTCGGCTTGTAAACGACGGGAAACTAAACTAGCTTATGTGGTATTAAGTAGGCGGTGCGAGCCCGCGAAATTTTTTTTTTTTTTTTTGCCGTTGCTCAAATCTAAGGTTTCCTTTTTCTGAGTACACGTGAAAGTTGCCCCTCAGAAAGAAGTCGCGTCGCTCTCTTACTGTTATAACGCAGCTTTCCGGAAGTGCGAGATTATAAAGCGACTCTAACTTTTTTTTATCTCCCGGAACGGCCCTGCCAGAAAGCCCCGCGAATGTAGATATCAGGGCGTGCTGGGAAATCCCACACTTCGCCTTTTGGCGCAAGGCATGCCGGGAATTTGGGGCGGAGTGGTGGCGACTGTGATGACAGCGGGTGGGGGGGGGGGGGCGGGGCCGGAGGCGGCCGTTCCGTGGCGGGGTGTTTCGCCGTTTCCGGGGTTGAGGAAGGCGGTTTGTCTGAAAGGTTGGGCGAAGCTCGGGGTCGTCGTCGTCTTCGTCGGCGGTCGCTGTGATGTACCACAGCAGCACGCAGAGGCGCTACTGGACTTTCCGCAGCGAGGAGGAGTTGGCCCGCAGGCGCTCTGACGCCAACCGCAAGTTCAGATGCAAAGCTGTGGCCAATGGGAAGGTAAGGGCGGAGGTGGGGGGGGGGGGGCAAAAGAACCAAGGATCCCCCGAGTTTGCTTTCCGTTGCATTTGCCTTGGGTCTTTAGGATCGCCCGCTTTAGGATTTGTCAGAATGGTACAGATAACCCTTGCTTACCGACGTTAATTGGGACTCCTTATTACTCCAAAACGCCATCGTAATGCGTGGGGGGGGGGGGCACCCGTGAGTAGACGGATTTATGGAGGCAGTTTGGCAGTCCCCGTCAACGCGAATCCTGCATGGTTGCTGTGTCCCAATGTCGTGCGATGGCTACCCTGCCGGCTTCCTTTTGCTTTATTGTTTATTTATTTATTGGCTCGATTTATATGCCGCCCTTCTCCGGAGACTCAGGGCGGCTTACAATGCGTTAAGCAATAGCCGTCATACTTTTGTACATACCTGCTTAGTAGGGCTTTTGGCCCCTCCCTAAGCGGTGTTCTTCTTTATACAAAGTCAGTTTATTGCCCCCACAATCCGGGTCCTCATTTTACGTACCTCGGAAGGATGGAAGGCTGAGTCAACCTTGAGCCTGGTGAAATTTGAACTCGCAGTAATTGCAGGCAGCTGGCAGCTAAATGCTACTTAACAGCACTTTAGTCCACTGCACCACCAAGGCTCTTCTTGTTGGAATCACGTTTCTGGAACATGATGCTGTTATAATTGGGAGCCAGTTGCTAAACACTGGAATTGTGATCATGTCACTGAGGATGCAACAATGGTTGTAACCATGAGGAGCCCTTACAAGTACCATTCATTCAGCAGTACTGTAACTTTGAATGGGTGGTCATTCAATAAGGACAACCTGTATGTACCAACACTAATTCTGGCTAGGAACTCTCGGAACTGAAGTCCACAGGTCTTAAAATTGCCAAGTTTTGAAATCACTTATATAGATTCTGTTTTCCCTTAAGAATAAGAGAAACTCAGAGATCAGAGAAAATTAGTAAAGAAAATGTATATTTCATTATACATATAATAACTGCAGCAAGAATAGTATTTGCACGAAGATGGAAAGCAGAGAAAATCCCTTTAGAAGGGGAAGTAATTAGAAAAATTTTGGACTGCACAGAGATGAATAGATTAACTTTAATATTAAAGAGAAAGAGGATACGGAATATTTTAAGATATGGAGGAAATTTTATGATTGGATAGAAAAGAGATATAAAGAATTTGATAAGCAAACAGGAGAAAGCTACATTAAATACATGTATTTTGGGGGAAACATTGAAATAGAGAAATGAGATTTATTAAGGAAGAAATAGGAGGAGGAGTAACAAAAAGAAGTAGTCACCGAAGAAATAGCAAGATGACACATGGAAATACTGATGTATATTATATGTTTGTCTTAAAAAAAATAAAAAACTTTTTATAAAAAAAAAAGAGCAAGAGAAACGGATGTTATAGTGTGCCATGTCCCCATGAACAGGTCAGACTTCTCTTGGCAGGAGTGTGCATTATTTTACAGTTGCATTGACCACTAAGCGGATAAACACTATATCTCTATAGGGTTATAGTCTAACTGTGTTACTGATAGAGAATATTGGTGCACTGATGTTACCTGGTTTGATAATGAAACATCTACAAGAAAACAACCAAGCTCAGAGAGCACTAAGGACCTCTGTTATACAGTCAGGTCCAGAAATATTGGGACATCGACACAATTCTAGCATCTTTGGCTCTATACACCACCACAATGGAGTTGGAATGAAACAAACACAATGTGCGTTAACTGCAGACTGTCAGCTTTAATTTGAGGGTATGTACATCCAACTCAGGTGAACGGTGTAGGACTTAGAGCAGTTTGTATATGTGCCTCCCACTTGTTAAGGGACCAAAAGTAATGGGACAATTGGCTTCTCAGCTGTTCCATGGCCAGGTGTGTGATATTTCCTCATTACCCCAATTACAATGTGCAGATAAAAGGCCCAGAGTTCATTTCAAGTGTGCTATTTGCATTTGGAATCTGTTGCTGTCAACTCTCAAGATGAGATCCAAAGACCTGTCACTATCAGTGAAGCAAGCCATCATTAGGCTGAAGAAACAAAACAAACCCATCAGAGAGATAGCAAGAACATTAGGCATGGCCAAAACAACTGTTTGAAACATTCTCAAAAAGAAGGAATGCACTGGTGAGCTCAGCCACACCAAAAGACCTGGGAGACCATGGAAAACAAGTGTGGTGGATGACCGAAGAATTCTTTCCCTGGTGAAGAAAACACCCTTCACAACAGTTGGCCAGATCAAGAACACTCTCCAGGAGGTAGGTGTATGTGTGTCAAAGTCAACAATCAAGAGAAGACTTCACCAGAGTGAATACAGAGGGTTCACCACAAGATTTAAACCATTGGTGAGCTTCAAAAACAGGAAGGCCAGATTAGAGTTTGCCAAACAACATCTAACAAAGCCTTCACAGTTCTGGAACAAGATCCTATGGACAGATGAGACCAAGATCAACTTGTACCAGAGTGATGGGAAGAGAAGAGTATGGAGAAGGAAAGGAATTGCTCATGATCCTAAGCATACCACCTCATCAGTGAAGCATGGTGGTGGTAGTGTCGTGGCGTGGGCATGTATGGCTGCCAACGGAACTGGTTCTCTTGTATTTATTGATGATGTGACTGCTGACAAAAGCAGCAGGATGAATTCTGAAGTGTTTTGGGCAATATTATCTGCTCACATTCAGCCAAATGCTGCAGAACTCATTGGACGGCACTTCACAGTGCAGATGGACAATGACCCAAAGCATACTGCAAAAGCAACCAAAGAGTTTTTGAAGGGACAGAAGTGGAATGTTATGCAATGGCCAAGTCAGTCACCTGACCTGAATCCCATTGAGCATGCATTTCACTTGCTGAAGACAAAACTGAAGGGAAAATGCCCCAAGAACAAGCAGGAACTGAAGACAGTTGCAGTAGAGGCCTGGCAGAGCATCACCAGGGATGAAACCCAGAGTCTGGTGATGTTTCTGCGTTCTAGACTTCAGGCTGTGATTGACTGTAAAGGATTTGCAACCAAGTATTAAGAAGGGAAAGTTTGATTTATGATTATTATTCTGTCCCATTACTTTTGGTCCCTTAACAAGTGGGAGGCACATATGCAAACTGCTGTAAGTCCTACACCGTTCACCTGAGTTGGATGTACATACCCTCAAATTAAAGCTGACAGTCTGCAGTTAACACACATTGTGTTTGTTTCATTCCAACTCCATTGTGGTGGTGTATAGAGCCAAAGATGTTAGAATTGTGTCGATGTCCCAATATTTCTGGACCTGACTGTATATGGTTTCCCAAAGTTCTTCTGTGCAAATATGTAGATTTATAACTCTCGATTCCTTTAGCTGTCTGGTGATAATGGGAATGGTAGTCCTGCACATGTGAACAGTACTATGTTAGTAAGGCTCATGTATAGGATTATGCCTTAAGTGGTTCTATTTAATAGTTATAGTCTGTGTTAGTGAATTGTGATTTCTATTTAAGGTATGTATTACTCTTTCATAAGGTTCAACAGACAGACTCGTTTCTTCTTGACCAACATGAAGAGCTGATAATTTGTAAATATTATGAAAAAAGATTAGCAGATTTTTGTTCTGTATTTAAGCCAGCAATGCCCAAATCTGTTGTGGTAAGTTGTTGAAGTTTTACACCTGTTTTAACTTTTCTGTTTAAAGAAATCAATGTCTTGCTGGTGCTTACTTGAAATGCAACTTTTAAAGCTGATTTAAAGAAAACCAATTTTTTAATGCTCATGACATAGAAGTATAAATTAAGCACACATCTGGGTTCATATAATGTCCCATATTTTTAAAATGGCTATGTTGGATGTAAATAGCTAATTAATTCTTATTCTTTGTAAGTTTTAATCTTCCCTTTCTTCATTTTTCAAAATTTAATGTGGTTTGCAAGGTTTTCTTTTCCATATGCAGAATCTTTTATTTTGTACATTAGCATCAGTTAATAGTTTTGTACATTAGCATTAATAATGCTGATTTGAAATGCTGAAAAGAAATGCAAAACAGTTTCCCTTCCAAGTAATTAGAACTGCCTTAAGGTTAGCTGCTCTGTGATTGATGGCTTCATTCCCATGAAGACTCTGGTCCACCTTATTTTCTTAAGTGGTAAGAGAAAGAAAAAAATATGCATCAAATGTCAGAGCACTTAGATCAATTTGTAATGTAATATTTGTAATCAATTTGTAATATTGTCACAGCTTCTGCTAGACTTGTGCAGCAGGCATGCAGCAGAATGCACAAAAGATCATAACATTATCAGGAAAGTTAATTATCCTGCAATACTGCTAAATTCTGCTGTAGGAGACCACATCTCAGCTATGTTGGGGATTAATGGTAGAGACAACCAAACAAGTCCCACAATTCTGGAAAAACTACAGTTGTAAAGAATATAAGGCTATGTGAGATCATAGGCATGTAGACTTGTATTTATTGTATTTGTGAAGTGTACCATATTTGACTTGGAGAAGAGCAGACTTACTGATCTAGTGTGCTGTTTAGAAGGGAATTCTAGTATCAGTTTTGTGCACTCTACTCTTTAATAAATAGAAAAATGTTTTAGTATCTCCAAGTAGATTGGAGCAAACATGCTATTTTATTCTGGGCCAATTTATACATAAAATGCATGCACTTTTCATTGGTATAGTAATAAACTATTTCAGGGCTGCATCCTTTGTTTCATAAATTCCCTTTCTGACACTATTGCTTTGATTTTTTTCTGAATAGAAAAAACTGAATAGAACTGAGCAATATGTTATTTAGTTTTCCATTGGCATTTTAAAATGTATCTTGTATTATGTTTATAGCAAGTAATTTGAACTTTCCAACTTTTTTGTGCTTTTAGGGAACAGCCTGCATGTATTTCAAACGTTTTTATCTCAATAACTCAGTAATGGAATATCATCCCCGTATAATTATGTGAGTAATTCTTAACCATTTATGCTTTGATATCAGTTAAAATTGATAATGTTTATATATTTTTTGAAATTTTAACTAATAAGAGACAAGACATATGTAGAGTTCATATTCATATTCCAAGATGAAAACTGCCTGTTTCTCAGGAAAATGTTTTTGGTCTTGAAATTATTTATATTGTTTCAAGTACATATACTTTTGCTACAATAAAATGTTTGTGTTTTGTTTTTAAGGTTAACGTGTGCATTCTTGGCTTGTAAAGTAGATGAATTTAATGTATCTAGTGCACAATTTGTTAATAACCTCCGTGACAGTCCAGCAGGACAGGAGAAAACATTGGAACAGATCTTGGAATATGAATTACTTCTTATTCAGCAGCTGAACTTCCACCTTATAGTACATAACCCTTACAGACCATTTGAAGGGCTATTGATTGATTTGAAGGTACCTTTTTCCCCCTTTTTTTCTTACCAAGTTGAACATTGACTGCAACAACTGTATTAAATGTTGTTATATGAATAATACAGAGATAAACTTTTACAGTGATAATTACCAAGTATCTCTTTTTAAGTTAATGTATTTTAAAAATGAATGGCTACACTATGAAACATAGATATCAATCTATATTCTGTGACTCCATCTTTAATACCTTCAATTTTCTTTGCACATCTTTCAAAGCCCTTTCTTCAGTTTTTGAAAATGGTAACAAAATATTGCTTTTAGAACTGAGTGCCAAAATGAGGGTTGGAAATGTTGAGTTGTTTGTGCTGATGTTCATATGTGTTTGACAGGATTTTAATTTGTCTGTAAATAAGGATATTACCTATATAATTATATTTCTAATGAACAGTTATGAGTAATGAGGTATAGAAAAAATTGTTGGGTTTTTTGTGCTACCCTTAAACAAATATCGTTAAAGATAAATCTTGGTAAAGAGTTGGATATCATCAGCTTAAAAATCTATGAGCTTTTTTTTTATTTTGAAGAACAAAGTACTGTACAAGACTCTTTGGTTTGATTTTGTAAGCTCCAAGTTTTGTTCGCTATCAGATCAATTCATGAAAACCTTGGTATTATATACAATTATTTTGAAGTGGATGAAAAAGGCCACAGACTAGATAAGTTTTTTAGTTTATTTTGTTTTATTTTATTGCTTGAAAACAGGGAAATCCTTTTAGTACCTGCCTTTCGTTTGAAGGTACTTATCTTGGATATGGACTTGGAGGAAATTGTAGCAACAAATTATTCCAAAGCATTATCGTCTATTACTTATTTTCTAGACCCGTTATCAATTGCTTGAAAATCCTGAGACATTGAGGAAGACAGCAGATGATTTTCTTAATCGAGTATCTTTGACAGATGCCTGCCTTCTATTTACACCTTCTCAGACAGCTCTCACTGCCATGGTATCAAGTGCATCCAGGGCAGGATTTAATATGGAAAGGTAGGCAGTTTCTGAATATTTAAGAAATCACATAAACATACTCTGTTCTATAGGAAAAATATAGGCTATAAAAAGGCATGAATAATGATAACTGCTGCAACGATTCAGTCAGACATATACCCCAAATTCCAGGATTTGATTTGATTACCTGAACAACTTTATATAAGAGTTTGGCAGCAGTAAATTGTTAATTCTGGTGTATGTAAAATTTTTCTTGGAATGATCACTTTTACAACTTTTAAAACTGCTTTAGCCTGCCAAAATAGGCGAGTATATATATATATATATATATCTGCTATTCGTGTCTGAATGTTATTGTTCTGCTTATGAAGATTGTACCTCCAATTTGGATTACTGCAATGTGCTATAGATAGGGCTGCCCTTGAAGACCACCCAGAAGCTTCAACTGTTCCAGAATGTGATAATGTGCTCAGGATGGGTACTCCTAGCTTTACCCATATAACACCTCTATTGTGTGAGCTGCACTGGCTTCCAGTTTCCTCATGGGTGAAATTTAAGGTGCTGGTTATCACCTTTAAAGCCCTATATGGCAGAGGCCCAAGTTATCTGCCTTTCCCTAAGGACATCAGCCTATGCTACCAGCTTAGATAGGGTGGGTATGCTTGTAGTCCAGTGATGGCTAACCTTTTTGCTGTCACGTGCCAAAAGCGGGGGGAGCACAGGGAGGGAGTCACGTACATGCGTGCCCACACCCATTATTCAATGTGACCCATGCATGTGCGCCTGACCCCCTCCCCGCGTTCCCCTCGCTTTTGGCACACGGTGGGCGTGGTAGGGCTGTTTTTTGCCCTCCCCAGGCTTCAGAGGCTTTCTTGGAGCCTGCAGAGGGCAAAAACGGCTTTCCTCACCCCCTCCCTGGAGGCCCTTCGGAGGCTGGAAACGGCCCATTGCTCGACTTCCAGTGAGCCCGGAAGGCGCAAAAATCAGCTGGCCGGCATGCACATGCACACTGGAGCTGAGCTAGGGCAATGCTTGCGTGCCCACAGATATGGCTCCGCATGCCACCTGTGGCACATTGCCATAGGTTCGCCATCACGGTTCTAGTCTCTTCCCTTAAACATTGACACTTTAGGTGAGTTAGGAAGAGTGCCTTTTCTGTGGCAGCCCCTGCCCCATGAAACCTGCCTGAAGTTTGGCAGGCCTCCACTTCCTAACCTTCTGTGAAGGACCAGGCTTCCTCCCCAATTGCTGGGATAAGATGTGGTGATTGCATATCTGAAGCTTGACTTAGAGCCAGGGTTTTGTTTTTAATGCATTTGGTTTTAATACTTTTAATATGGCTTCTTGCTTGGGAGCCACCCAGTGTTTGGTATAAGACAGCTATATAAATGTTTTAAACACAGTTGGGGGGGGGGAAATTTGAGTACCATAGGAAGTGGAAATACAAGAAATTAAGTCTAACACAAGTTACCTTATTTTTAAAAAAAATTTTAAAACTGCTTTCATGCGCATAAGTTGTATTTTAAATACTGTTAAAATACCTGGCATTGCCTATTGTGAAATGTTCTATATGATCGTTCTTTTATGATCTATAATTTAATTCTTTTTAGCTGTTTGTTTATTTTTGCTAATTTTCTGAATTTTTTTAATAGTTACTTGTCAGGAACCCTAATGCTCAAAGAGAACAAAGCATCCCTTTCACAGTTGCTGGATGGAATGAAATGTAAGTATTGATGTTGACAATGAAACAGTACCTACATATTTGTTTAAAATATCCTTGATGCTTCAGAAAGGAAAAGGTGAAGAGCTTGATATGTTTTAAGAATTGTAAAAAGAGTTATTTTTGATATTTCTAACTGTATAAAAGGACCCATTATTTTAGAACAAAAATACCTGCAATCTTGTCTGTTTCCATCTTTCCTACTCCCCATGTCAGCATGTAGGATATAATAGGATAGGACTGTTATGGCGAACCATCAGTGGGCACGCAAGGTCAGCTCCGGCATGCGTGTGCACGCCGGCCAGCTGATTTTCGGGCCTTCTGGGCCTACCAGAAGTAGGAAAACAGGCTGTTTCCTGCCTCCGGAGGGCCTGATGGATGGGGAAGCCCCATTTTTCTCTCTCACCTGGCTCTCTCTAGGAGTCTCTGGAGGCTGGGGACAGCAAAAAATGTCACTTCCTGTCCAACCGGAAGTTGGGAAACTGGCCGTTTCTGGCCTCCGGAGGGCCTCTGGGGGGGTGGGGGTGGGGAAGGCTGTTTTCGCTTTCCCCAGAATCATAGAGAGGCTCTGGAGCCAGGTGAGATAGAAAAATGGGCCTACCAGGCCATCGCGTGCTGGGAGCGGGGAGAGGGTCGTGCACACATGCGTGGGGCGCATAGAATTATGGGTGTGGGCACACACGTGCACGACCCCCTCGACCCCCCTTCTGGCACGCGATGGCAAAAAGGTTAGCTGTCACTGGGATAGGATATCCTATTATCAATAAAGGAGAATATTTGTAGCTCAGAGTTGAAATGAGGGGTCCTTGGTGCTCTCTGTTGTTTTCTTGCAGATGTTTCATTACCCTAACTAGGTATCATCAGTGTTAGTCGCTGATGGTAGTGTAGCACTGAGGTTGTTACCTAGTTTGTGTAATGAAATTTCTGCAAGAAAATAACCAAGCTCAGAGTACCAACGACCTCTCATATCCTGTAACATAAAATGTTTGTAGTTGTATGGATTTCTGCAGTATTAACTATGGCACAGTCTCATTAACAGGTTTGCTTTATCCATTTTGATACTGAGTTTTATGTTGCCTGATTTCAGAGTGAGTTCCTTTAAATATTGTGTATTGTGTAGTCCAGGATATATTAAAATGTCAATAACTATACTAATGTTTTTTTCTTTAGGACTTACTAGATTCTGTTTCAGTTGATTTATATTTTGAAGCATTGATGTATAAACATACCTATGTCTCTAATATTTTCTCTGTGACTGTATTGCTAATCAGGAAAACTAAAACAATGAAATAACAATTTTAGTGTAACTATACATTTACACTCTACTTCGACATTGATAAAAATATATGTCAATTAAAATAAAGCCATGATGGTGCAGTAGTTAGAGTGCAGTATTGCAGGCTAATTCTTCTGACTGCTAACAGTTTGATCCTGACTGGCTCAAGGTTGACCCATCCTTCCATCTTTCCAAGGTTGGTAAAATGGGGACCCAGATTGTTGTGGGCAATATGCCAACTTTGTAAACCATTTAGAGAGGACTGTGAAGCACTATGAAGTGGTATATAAGTATAAGTGCGATTGCTAAATTTGGTAAAAGAGTGAAAGTTTTATAAGTACGATCTGAAGAGAAACCAGAAACTGAAACTATAGCTTATGTCCTGCTATACTGTACCATCTATAAGGACTCATAGATTCAATTTATAACACCTTACCTAATAAAATATCTGGGGAATACTGATCTTTTTTAATTGCTGTTAATCAGATCTGTATGAAGTACTTTCTCTGGATGTCACCAAATTCTGCTGTGCTATATGTAAAATTAGGCAAACTTTAACAGCCTATACTAATCCACTACCAATCACAATATATTATTCTGCTTGTCTGTTTTTTATTTTTATTTTTTGCTATTGTTTTAATGCTTTTATTTGCTGGTCTGTGACCATAATGAAGATTGATTGATAAAAGAACTGAACATTTAAGCCAAGGGTGTGTAAAAGAAGCTGAAGCACTTCTTAGCTATGAAAGATTTATTTTTAATCTGAAAGAGACCATGATCAGTAACTGTATTGCATCTCATTGAGATCTCGACCTCATGCAGACATGTATTCGGGGAAAGGAAGTCAATTTTGGAAATATCAAAATTATCTTTCTTTCCTTGCAAGAGACATTGGCTATATGTCACAACAGACAGGGACAATATTTTGCTATCCATGGACCATATTAAACCTGGAGGGGAGGCATATCATTCAAGAGTAGGACTAGGTTTGGAGAAGAGTCTGCAAAGTTTTTGTTCTTTTTAGTGGGATCATGTTACCCACCTCAAGATGGCGAGAACCTTATTTTGTTTTGAACAATAAGAGACAGAATGAGCTTCACAGGTCAACCAAACAGGCTTTCAGGAGCCAGTCTAACCCATCCTATGCCAGAGAAAAGTATTTTTCCTCAGCTAACAATTTGCCAGCTATATAGTATAGTGTTCCAAAATGAAAAATGTGCTTCAAATTATGCAGGGGTGTATATGTAGCATGCCAGCAGTGTCTGTCTCCATGGGAATTAGTTTGGAGGCAGCTGTGAAATCCAGAGAAATAATGGAGCTATCTTAAGGTCTGTGGACAAATATTTTGTGAATGCATTGAATGCTTCAAAGCATCTTGTTTCTGTTTGAATCCAGTATGCCACAGAGACCTATGCTTGGGACTGAGCAATATCGAAAGCAACTTTATATCAAGAGAGCCACTATTATGTTCATTTTCTTTAGTGATTATAAGACTATTTGGCTAAATATGCTATGACTTGAAGAAATGAGATAAAAAAAAATTGATAGCACTCTTCAGATATTGAAGTGTTACTTGAGAAGAGAGTCAGGGCTAGCTCTCCATCATCCTAAAATGTGGCACTTTAAATAACATTCTTAAGAAGGCAGGTTCCAAGTGTTTTTTTAAAACAGTTTTAATATTTTTGAACATTTAAACAATAAAACTAATTACTTAGGCACACGGTGGCCTCCCCTGCATGTGTTCAGGTAAAGTCTGCACTGAGAAAAGAATTGATTCACCTTCCCTAATCTGAATATCCTCCAACATATATCTTGGAATTAGAGAATTCCTTAGCTGACATCTGAAGCATTTCCATATGGATAGGGTTGCAATAACCTAAAGTCCTTCCAATTTAGCTTAATTGACCCCCCCCACACCCTGTCATTGCCTTTTGATCAATTTTGTAGGAGCAAATAGGCTAAATACAAAATTATTTAGAATGCAAACTGTTTTGTGACTGAGACAATTTTTAACCAGCACATATGTTTTCTTAGAATTTCCTGATCTGTTTTTGATAAGTAACATAAAAGTTCATATTTTTATAATACTTTTATAAGTATTTATTGCATTTGTGTAGGCATGAAAAATCTGGTAAAAAAATATGAGCTACCACATCCTGAAGAGGTTGCTGTATTAAAACAGAAGCTAGAAAAATGTCACAGTCCAGAACTTGCTCTTAATTCAAATACGTAAGTAACAATTTAAAGCTTTATTAAATTTCTTCTGTTCTAATGGCCTAATTTCTGGCTAGGGTTGTCTGTACTGATGCTATTCCAGGTGTTTGTCAGTATTTATTCCTCAGTCGGGGCTTAAATGTATAATACGACGAAAATCATTTTGTGGATTATAATGTTGCTTAGCAAAAACTTTTCATGCAGCAAGGTTGAATAGGGATAGTTTTATGTTATACAATAAACGTGGATAAAGAGAAGATGAAGGATGTTATATAAAAACATTAGAACAACATTAGAACTTACTTGGAGTTGTACGCATTTTGTAATGCCTAGTAGAGGAATTTTGTAATTCCTCTACTAGGTTCAAATAATTATTTATATAAATAGGAAAAGTTTACTTTCAAAGAACACTTGGATTAAATTTAGGTAATCTTTATTCTGCTGTGTGATATACACTCTCAAAATAGTCTTTTGGAGGTTGCATGAAGGAGAAAATGAAACAAACAGTAGATGGGGCAAGAGATATAAATGGTGAGCATGTTCATTCTTATACTCCCCTTCCCTCCCCACTTTTTTTTTTTTTTTTGCTAAATTGGGATACCAAAAGCCTAAGATGATCTGCTACTGAAGGCTTCATAAAAGTAGTAGAAAGAAATTGCAAAATAATATTCCTATTAATCGGAAGGTTTTTTCCAACTTCATCAGTCTTTGCATTACTTTTTCTACAGACTATCAATGGAAAACATATCTTATGGAAGCTGATTCCGGTATACAAAAGTATATGTCTAGCAAACTTTTCATTTACCTCAGAGATAAATTTTAATTTATAGTTTTAAAGGATTTATAGTTTTAAATGTGCCCTAACTGCAGAAGGGAAGTAACCCAAGCCTGCTGTGCTTTTTTTGTTATTCTCAGTTCTTATTGCCACCTACCTGCAGAAGGCCTCTGGATTTTCCAGAATCCTTAATCTCTGGGAGAGATGGACTCCCTCAATCACCTTCTCCTCCTCAAAGAATGGCTATTTTTCCTTGTTACATTTATTTGCCGCCTATGTCGCCATGGGGCGACTTTAGGTGGCTTACCATAATAAAAAGAAAAATGAAAGGAGGTAAACAGACCGGAAGTAAAATAATAGAACAATAAAATAAACGACGACAAAGGAACACAATGAGAATAATATATCAATCTGAGAACCGAAAAGATAGATGGGTGGAGGGCAGAGCAAATGGTGAGGAGATGGAGTCTGCCATCAATCTACACCTCCAGTGTAGAACTGCACCATTTGTTCCCCAGGCCAACTGGCAGAGCCGTGTCTTCAGGCTCTTGGAGCAGGATAGGATTAGAATTAGAATCAGTTGGTGCTGAATAAATCATCTACATCAGGGATCCCCCAACCCTGGGCCATGCAAGTGGCAGGCGAGCGCATGCAGCTCCATTTGTGTGAGTGGCGGGCACTCAACATGGGAAGCTACATTTGCATGAGCGGTGGGCAGTTGCACCCGTCGCTTGCATAGATGGAGCTGTACTCATGAGTGCCCATTGCATGTGCAGAACCATCCCTCTCCCCCTATTCACCAGTCCGCAAAGCTGGAAAGGTTGGAGACCTGTTCTACAGATTAATTAAATTATTGCATTATTTTTAATATAAAAATGGGATTGAATAAATTTAATAGTGGAACATACCCTCTAACATTTTTCTGCTGTGGAATTTTGATAGGAAAAAAAGAAAAGGCTATGAAGGTGATGAATTCATCTCGAAAAAATCTAGAATGGAGGAGGTTAGTAGATTTTATATCACCAGATTAAATTTGTATTTAAACTGTATTATTAAATCAAGATCACTATTGGCACCTGTATCATTTTTTCTTATGCCAATTATTTTTTTTAAACTAAGACAATGTGCTATTTTGTTATCAAAATTGGCTCTTATCAGAGCAAATCTCTGATCAATTTTTATTGGGTTTTTTTAGCTCATAAGAAATGAAGCAAGAATTGAATTTATAAATGTTTCTGGATCATTCACTAAAATTTCCACCTGACACCGCAGACCACTAATCTGTAATATGTGCCACCATATTTTTTATTTTTTATCTACTTTTTAATTTGAACTGTGGTTTTAGTGGCTTTATTGTATTTTGTTTATCATGTGAGTCATCCAGAGTCACTACAATAGATGGGTAGCTATCAAATGTGATAAAGAAGTAGAAAATAAATTATCATGGAATCAAAGGGGCAGGACTAGTTCCCAGATACCTTACACAGCAACTTATGTGAATATAGATATTAATTAAGAAATGTATATCTTATTTTACCCAATAAACCAGAACTATCAATAATTAAATACTATCAAATTATTAAAATAATTTTGCCTTATTTACAAAATCTAAAAGTATCAGGAATATGCAGACAATTAAAATTAGCATTGCTAATTTTAGATTTGTACTTTTGGTTTTGAAATAAATGTGACATTAAATGCAAAACATGTTGGAGGAACATGAGCTAAAGCAAATCATGGTTTAAACAAAGCAATCAGAATTTATCCCTAATATACTACACCCATTTTTACAAGATAAGGTTACATTGCATTGAATTAAATCTTCGTACCATTCACTCTAGTCCTTTTGGCTCAGGTGAAACTCTTTTCATGTCCTGTTTCAGTTGGACATCTGGACATGCTAGAAGCAAATTTATGTATACTGAGATTCTTCCATCTTTAAATGCTTACAGTATTGAAGTTGTGCAGTAATAGTTGTAACTTATTTGAAAATGCTGATAGGCTTGTCAGATTTGCTTTATATGAATAAAATTTGCTTTTTGATATTAAAAGCATCTGATCTGTAATCAGGATCCTTGATAAATTAAGAGGAATGTTTTTCAAAACTGTTGTAGTTAACTCACTCTAACAGGATACTTATTGTGACCAATCTTCATGCAGGAAAAAAAATGATTTAGGAATAAATTGGAGTTTTAATCTTTTGTAATATGTGGTTAATTTGATTTTGTTTTACTTAGGATGAATGGACAGATGATGATTTCATGGACTGATATCTACATTCCTAATAGAAAATAAAACCTGAATTAATATACATTGGAAATAAACCCAGGCAGCATGTTGTATAACTTATCATTCATCAGAAAATTATATATTTATAATACAATAAATTTTTTTTTACAAAGTGACTGGGATACTTGAACTTATTTAAATGGCATTAATGTGATTTCACAATGAACAGGGCTTTTCATTGGCCATCAGCCAACCAATTGAAATAACCATGTTCAGAGAAGATATGAACATAGCTACTACATTCAAAGGACCTGTACAAATACCTTAAAGTTCTATAATTATTTCTTCAGGAAGCACTAATCATGAAATAATTTTAAGATTGATGCCATGCAATAATTTTGAAATTCTTAGGATATTTAAACTTTATTTTTTATACAGATATGCACCTAATTAATTGCTCTCAGAAAGTCTGATATACCAGACTTTAAAAGCTACTTAACTACTCTAGCACAATCTTTGCTTGAGCAGAAAGTATCAGCTATGTTTAGCAAAATGTTTCGCTAACATCCCAGGCAAATATTCTTGTGTTCCAAGGGCTGCAAGTGAAATATCCTGCTTATTGTGTACACTTTGGAAACAGCTATGGAAATGTGTCACAATATGTGAAAGTTGGAATTTTTTTTATAAAGCATGTATGGAGTTGCTGATTTGTAGAATCAAGCTTAATCTCTAAATCAAAGGTTTGCATTGACCTAGTAGTAAAGTCAGCAAATTGTATTTAATGCCAAGTATATAATTGGGGAATAGAAGAATTAATGTATATATTGTTTTGCTTTGATCTACTGGGCATTTTAGCTCAGTGAAGGAGCATGAGAAATGTTTTAATTAAAAAGAACACTCCCAATTAGAAATACTGCTGTAATTATCCAATTTACTCCCATTAATGACTGGAGATAGTTTACAGGAATACATAAATATCAGTTGTACAAAGAATTCTGAGCTGATATTTAATGTCTTACAACCCACTGAACTTTTGATACATATTAGAATATTCTTTTACAACTAAGATACTTTTTATAACTATTGCATAGTCTGCCTTGTACATTCTGTCAGGCATAACTATGAAATATAGATCCATGAAGAATGCAGAACAGTGATTATGTTTGAATGGGCAGTTTAGTATCATATAATTTGTTAGTCACAACAGATGATACATCTCTCCAAAGGGATCTGCATTTGTAACCAAACCTCAGAATTTTTGTAACTGGAGAGGGACTCTTCTAAGTAATCTCTTTAAATTAGTAATATCCTGATTTATATTTCAGACTGTTGAAAATCAGTTTGGATTTCCCAATCCAAGGTTTCCAACATTTGAGGGCTAGTGGAAATATTTTGAGATTTTGAGAGTATGGTCACACTTGCAAACTCTACCCTATCCCATTGTTTGATCACTCAGCTTGCTTGGTTTTTCTGGGTAGGTAGGCAAGTTTTCAAAGAAATCATTCAGGATGTATCCCTTATCCCCTCATGTTTTTTAAAAGAATGCCTCCAATATATATGCAAAGCTCAGAAAATTAAGAATGTGGGAGGAGAAAGCTGCTTCAGTATACCACTTTGCAGAGAGCTTTAAATGAAATAGGCATGCCTGTTGGGGGAAGTCCTAATCCGCTTGAGAGCATGTCTGTTTTTTTGCACAAAACCATCTCTACACTTTTTCAGAAGGCAGGGGAACTTCTTCTGAAGCAGGTAAGGTTCTTTATCAGTCTAAGGCCTGCTGATATATCACATCTACTGTCCTAGGATTATGAATATCATACACTTTCTATTTTTTCATATTATTCTTGATGTATTATATCTAAAGATGCAAGGTAGTTTATGTTGCAAGATAGCTTAAATGTATAGATAGAAATGATATACAGTACATACTTGGGAACGGAATATTCACTCATTAATATTTTTGTTCATTTACAATCTAAACAAGATTTTCACAATTGTTTTAAGAATTATTTTGAAATGAATTACATTAAAGCTTCCCCTGCTTCAGCCCTCTGGAACTCCTTTGTTTTTTCTGTTTTATTTGTAACTTTTGATTTGCAGGAAGAACAGAGACTTCAAAATTCAGTAATGCAATGGGCCATGGTATATTTTTTTAGACTCAATAATGACAGCATAGTAGTAGGTGACTTTAAAGTGGCCACCACCTAGTCATCCTTAGCTTTTGTGATATCTCATTAATCTAACACCAAGTGACAGGAGAGTACTTTCCATCATGATTCTCTTTCAGTAATGGTGTTTTTAGCAACTCCTAGTTCAGAAAAGTCCCTGTTTAGCCTTCTCCTTTTACTCTTTTATAAAGGACTGATTAATGGCAATACATAGATTACTAACCCTAAATAGGATTTTTTTCAGTCAGCACTTATGAACGTACATATATGTACTAAATTCTTAATTATTAGTCAAAAAAATTGAATGTATGCTATAAAACTGTTTAATGAATGCATGCATGCCTGATACAATAATCAATAAATTTACTGAATTCAAATTTACTGTTGTAAACATTTTACAAAAAGCATTGCAATTTATCTGGATACAGTCATTGGTGAAAAAAAATACTCAAAATGATAAATGGCACATAAAAAAAATAAAGGTGACAAAACCCAGTCTGCATCTTCTTTCAGCATAACTCTGAACAAGCAAAATAGAATGGTATAAAAGTGTACAGCAAAGATTTCCTTTCAAATTCTGGAAGCTGTAAATACAAAGTAGTTGAACAATTGTAATGTGATTACAGTAACCAGGTGAATTACAGTAAAAGATGTTCAATCCAGTTATACTTTGCTGTTGAAACAATTTATTGGCAGTTGACTGTGTTTTCTGAAAGACAGCTAGACTTTGGCAATTGGAGGTTTGAAATAACATTGAAGTTCAAAGAGACAGTCACAGCATTTACTTCGTGGAAGGTGATTTGTACACCAAGGCTCAGAGGTCCTGAAAATTGGTTCCAAAAGTGCAAGTGTCCTGCACAGATAGCTTAAAGCTGCTGGTACAGTCAGTCACCAACAGATCTGTTGTTTTTTGCATAGTTCACACATCACTGGAAACGTGAAATGTGTGCTATTTTTGGCAAGAGCAAGAAGAAGTGATATTGGTGAAAGTTGTCATGTTGGTCATGCTAGCTCATGCAGAAAGCTGCTACCTAATGTTGTTAGACACTGAATACTGATTCTGCTTTTGTTGAAGCAGTTCTGTAATTGCCAGCAACTTCTTTAGCACATGCTGTTAAAAAAAAGGTAAATTTATTAAATTATCCATGGTCTTTCTGGAAGTTTTAAAAGCTGAAAGAAGTGATTTATTTATTTAAACATCTTTAGAATACTTTTGGATTTTGAGGAAGGAAAAGATAATCCAAGTTTTCTAGCTTGAATACGTACATCAAAATAACTTTCCTGAAGCTTTAACATTTAAATAAAGCAAGTGATGATATGCAATGAATATAAAAATGTAATGTCTTGCAATATCACTTTGTAATCATGGATATAACTTCAAATACACAGTGTATTTGAAACAGAAGACAGCCATGCTAAAAGGTTCATTCATTTCACAGAAGGCAGTTGTATTTGATAATGCTTTGCTAATTATACCATCTGCAGTCTTTTAAGTGCCATCTTTTGAAGTTGCTCAAGAGTTTCCAAAGTCAGAGCAGACTTTCAGAGGGCAGGAGAAAAGACATTTGGTGAGTTTGCTTCTTCCCAATTTTACCCATAAAAGCTCGTAGATGATGAATTCATCTTAAGTGAATAGGAATTCATTCCATTAACTACAACATGATTTTCAGTAAACTTATTCATCTTTTCACAAGACTGTATTTCTGTTTTCATCTTCAGTTTATATTTCACTTCATATACACTCAGTATATATGATTCTTTAACTTGCAGAATAATTTCTTCACTACTTACTTGAATTATCTGTGAATATTAAACATTCCCAATCCAAGACTCCAAAAAAAGAATGTACCATACTTAAATTTGTCTGTAATACACTTTCAATACAATTACTTCGGAAAATACCAAGTTTGGTAAGTATCATACTAGTTTGGTATTTGGCACATACAAAAGTGAAAGACAAGGTCAATCTGATTCTATGATGCTGACTTAATCAGGCACAGCTAGCCAAATGTTTTAATCCAATTTTTAAAAAGTCTGCTTTAAATATAGACTCTCAAGAAAGTAAGGACTTCTCAGAAGCCAGGAATTCTCACTTCAGATCCTAAATTTTAAAAATAGAATTTATTTTATTCTGCTATGTTTTACCTTTATGATTTGAGGTATGGACATATTCACAGTTAACCAATATACTAAGATCTTTCTCTAAATTAAGGTTATAAAAAATATAGAGATTGAGATTATTCCCCAAACTGGCTGCTTCCAGTAGGAAGATTTGTCTCTCCTGCCGATGATCTGCTTTTGCCACCAAAGCTGGTTCTTTGGCAGTGTTGCTTCCTGGATTTGAATGGCGGCACTTAGGAATTACCCACAACAACGTTTGGACGATTGTGGACTCACCCAGGAGAGGGAAGCTTGAAGACAGCAGTTCCCTGTGGGAGCAGCTGGAACTTTCATCCACCATTTCTTCTCAGCAGACCGTTTTCATAAGCAAGCCTGGGTTTTAACCTCACTTTTTGAAGCTTTTGTTTTGCTTTGTTTTTTATTTCTAAAAGTTGGCTAGTTCAATGTGGAATGTGTGGGAGTAAGAATACAGATGAGAAGCCAAACTCCCAACAGCAATGTTTATTGCAGATAATGACTCAGTAAAACCAACATGCAACTTCCGGCTGATAGCCCCTTTTAAAGGAAAACTATCAGCCTTTAAACAATAACATTAAAATATGTCCCGCACCTGCGTGGCAGAAGAAAAGTGTCTGCTTACGCCTGCACGGACATAACACAATGCTGCTTTATTTCAACCTCCTGCTGGATTTTATCTGTTGTTCTTGATTTTTTCCCTTTGCTTTGTTTGACTATTTTTATTAACTGTTTTTTTCCAAATGGAGAATTATGGCATGTTTCTGGATAGTGAAAGTGCTTTTACTTGATTTACATTTTTATTGGACATTTACAGGGATTCTGTATTTAGTTCAATTTGCAAAAAGTTTAGCTTATTTTTCTCAGTCTTTCTT